ATTATAAAATTAATATGAATATGTACATATATGGAGATAATGTTTTCAAAATGTACAAGATTAAAAGAAATACGAATGAATAAAGACATTGGATATGTTGGAAATGTAGTTTTTGGAATTGTAAAAGTTTAATAAATATCAGAAGTTCAGGGAAAATACATATTTATCAAAGCATTCCATATTGGGTTTGGATGATATTAAAAGAAGAAAATAACGAAGTTGAAGAAATTGAATATACAATTGAAGATAGGGAAAAGTATGGATATGAAATACCAACAGAAGTCAAACGAATAGGAAATGGATGTTTTGAAGGAAGTCAAATTAAAGAAATTACTATTCCTTCAAATGTAAGAGATATTGGAAATGATTGTTTTGGTTATTGTACAAATTTAACAAAGATTGAAATACATGAAGGAATTAAAGAAATTCCAAAAGGATTTATGAAATATTGTGGACAAATACAAAGAATTGAACTTCCACAAAGTATAACTAAAATAAACACAGAAAGTTTTAAAGAATGTATAAAATTAAAAGAAATTAACATTAATCCAAATACAATAATAATTGAAAAAGGAGCATTTGAAAAATGTCCAAATATTAATTATGAATAATAAATTAATTTAATTCAATTTGATTGAAATTGATTATTTATTTGTTTCTCAAATAATATCAATATTAAATAATTTAATTAATTTTAATATTTTTAAAAGATATCATAGAATGTTATCATAATATAATAACATTCATCTATTTTATTCTGTTTATCATTTGTTTTATTCTCTTATTCATTTTATTATCAAAATTGATATTTATTTATTCAAATTTCATGATATTGATAATAATATTCATTATAAATCTTCTCTAACTCATTATTTATTATTGATTTGGTGTATAATTGATTGTAATAATGTTGAAATTCATTGTATTATTTGTATTATTATGATAATAAATTGATTATATGAAAAAGAGAGATGAATAATATTAATTTACAATATTATGATTAT